GACCCGGGGTAAACTAAATGAGAGCCCAGCAACTTAGCCACTACGCCAACTGCTGGTCCCATCCCAACATGTGTTTCAAGCCTCCAGGTCCAGGACTCAAATTGTAGTCAGCCACGTGGGCATCCAGCATTTTAATGACTATGCCACCTGCTAGCCGCTGAATTGTTCTTAATACTGCCGTTTCTTAAATATTTATGTTAATTGTAAATACTATATTTCTTGGGACAAGCAGTTGGCATACTGGCTATGTCCCTGGACTCCCAAGTAGTCGACCGCAGTTTGAGTCCCGGATCCGGTGGCTTAAACTCACGCCGGGTGCATGTATGCGTGTGCCTAAGATCCCGAGAGGAGTATATATATTTCTTGAGTTCTCTTATATTGTGTCATATTCTGAGTTGCTTTTAGGCCTTAATACATGTTAGTTTCCTGGAATGCTCTTCCCTGTTGCTTCTGTCATTTCTTGGCTGGTTAACAGCTATTTATTCTTCATGTCTTATCTGATATTGCATTTCCTCTTAGAATTGTGTTAAGCCCCCAGATACAAATTTTCTTAGTACATTAAACTTCTCCTGTCATAATATTAATACTTGTCATATTCATTTTTTTAATAATCACTTATTTAATTCCATTTGTTATTTATTTATTTTTTTTTTCACTGTAGGGCGCGTGTGCTCACCAGACAGACAGAGAGAGACATAGAGACAGAAAGCAAGAAATCACCCCCCCAGGGGGGATGGGCACGCACGCACACGCGCCCAGCGTGAGTTTTAAGCCACCGGGTCCGGGACACGAACCGCGGTCGACTACATGGGAGTCCAGCGACATAGCCATTACGCTAACTGCTGGTTCCCGTTCTTTATTATTTTTCAGTTTAACCAGATAGAGACCGAGAGAGAGGGAAAGTTAGAAAGCAAGCCGCCAGGTCTGAGACTTGAACCGCAGACCATGTGAGAATTGAGCATTTTAACCACCGCACCACCTGCTGGCCCCATATTCATTGTTTTGATTGTTGAATTATCTATATTATCTGGACTGTAAGTTGCAAATGTTTTTATAAAGGGCAAAATAGCAAATATTTTAGGCTTTGCAGTCATGTGCTCCATTCCTATTCTTGGTCTGCTGTTAAGCAAAAGCATCCACAGATGTTATGTAGATTCATAATGACTATGTTCCAATAAAATTGGTGGTAGGTAGGATTTGGTCTACTGGCTGTAAATTGCCAGCCACTGATTTAGACGATCATATCTATAGGCAGAAAAATGTATTCTTTATCTCCGGTGCCTAGTATAGTACATGACATGTGATAGGTAATGGGTACAAAATATATGTGGAATGAGTTATTAATTTGTTCACTTTTAATTTTGGGATGCTTTTGTGATTAAAATTAAAATGTTAATTATCTAATGTGTATTTTAACATTTTTATTTTCAGAATCCAATTCTCAGTTTTGAACTACCTATGAATTTGGCAAATTGGTTTCCTCCCCCAAGAATGAGAACAAAAAGAGAAGAAATCCGAAATATAATTCTGAAGCTGCAGGAAGATCAGAGCAAAGAGAAGAAGAAGCATAAGGACAGTTACTCAGCAGAGGCATCTCTAGCTGAAGGAACAGAACAACTGGTCAGCAGTGTTTCAGATTGATCATTTCTATCACTTGTCAGTTCTGCCTTCAGAAACTAAGTGACTTTCAACTTTGGGTATAGATAGTAAAAAACTGAAATGCTCACTACTCAGAGTGATTTGGAAATGTTAATGCTTGTATAAATGTCATATAATTAATTTCCAAAGGAGTATGTATTAAGTAAAAGTCTGTAAATATGTTAATGAGGCCAATTTTTTCAGCATTTATAATTATTTTTTTCACTTGTTAGGAAGCTTTTGTTATGTATTTTCTGTTAATAGTACTTAAATCTGCAACTTCAAAACACAAAATAAATAAAAAGAAAATATTTATAGGAGGAAATGATTAATTTGATATTCTTTAGTGAACTTGTATAATTCCTCAGTGGGTGTGATATATTTCATGGGAATATTCAAATATCTATGATAATTTTTTGACCGTTTACATTTGTGCTAAAGTAATTCAAAATGGGAAAATAAGATTAAATATAAGGAATTTTGAACAAAGGCATCTTCATATTGCTTGTATAGAAGGGAAAAAGTAACATCCAATTTGTACACTCCATGTGTTGAGAACCCAAGAAGCGAAGTGTAATAAATATTTATAATTTTACACAAATATTTAAGAAGACCAATATTAACAGCAATTCAAAGAAAAGTAATCTTGAATTATACTACTAAAAGTTGTACTTGCATACATTATTGTCAAATACATTTCTGAAGACATCAGAGACTCAGGTGAAAACTATTTTGGTAAGTGCAGCTTGAATTTTAAGTACCCTGTGTTACCTTTCTGTATTATAACTTGAAGTATGCTATAATCTGTGCGATATAGTAAATTGATAAACATTTTTAATCTGTGTAAACACAGAAATTTAAATAGGAATTTACTATTTTTTGTAATAGCTTTTGCTATTTTTTCATTGCTCATTTTGTTCTTGTTATTTTGATAAAGTATCAGACTTTTTGCTTGAGTTTTTCAGTGCAAATTATTTTTAGATGTAGAAGTACTGTCTTTAGTCAATTGCATAATGCAGCAAAAATCTCCTACTTGGAATTTCCCTTTAAAAGTTCTACAGTGTGATGGTTTTGATGATAGATTTACAACTATGTAGGGATCTTAAATATATCTGCAGAAACTATTATTTTTCAAATTAAACAGTATACATTTCTTTCATATAAATGAAATTTGAAATGTATATTTTAAGTCCTTTTTTTGTTAATTTTAAAATGCACGTATAATAGAAATTGTTGAGAATTAAAAGGTCATTTTTATAATCAGCAATTATTTTTTATTTTTAATTTGGCCATCTCTGGATGCAACCAACAGTTTAAGCTATCAATATGTTCTTGAATTTAATAAAGTCTGTGGTTTGTTTGGGGTGGACATGAGTGTTGTTAACGACAACCAAAGAAAGTCTTTTGAAGTACATTCAATAAGTGAAATTAAAGTGTAAGCTTAAGAAAGTTCACCATATAGTGGTATCAATTATAGATTTGTGATTTTGTTACTTTGAATTCTAAGCACTATTTGGTTTTGATGATTTCTTTTTGGTAATACCTTAGAGCTACTAGCCAAGGTATCATTTAGCTCAGATGTGAGAAACAAGAGTTTAATTTTATGTACTGAGAACGAAAAAACATACTTTTATATCTCTAATCATACTCAGACAAAAAGTGGAAGTTACTTCTGTAAAATAAATTTAATAGCAATAAGCAAAATTGGAATAATTTTTGATGAACTATATGAGATTTTGAAAGTATTTAAAAAGCTGTTCTAAATATTTTAATTTCTAATATTTTACACTCAGATCATTTCTTATAAGTAAAGTACAATTTGTTCATTGGGCCAACTCATATCAGTCATGTTTCACATGAAAAATCTAGACTGATACATGTCTACTTTCTAGAGGTAGCTATTTGACAGTATTTCTCCCACCCCTAGTGAAATTTTGTTTTTGAAGGTTATGCTAAATGACTTTGAACTATTAAATATATATATAGAAGCTAGAACCTGGAAGTTGCCAGGTTGTGCTACAAGACTGGACTTGAAAATTTTTGGTTTGTTTGCACATTCACTTGATACTTGTGTACTCTGGTACTTCTATATGTAGTTTAAAGTAGATATCAACCTTTTAAAATGTGTTTTTAGTGTTCAGAAGTTGTGAAACAGGACTTTAAAGTCTAGAGGTTTGTCACTAGACACTGAAACTGCATGACAAGTATCTGATTCCATTAATTAGATAGAGCTGTTGTATTGGTTTTCTTGTTGGATAGAATAACAGTTCATCATTTTTAGAAGAGGTTTAGATTACTTGCCATAAAATTTGTATGTGTCTCAGCTCTCAGTAGTAATGAAGCAAAGGTGGTGTTTAATCCCTTTTCTTTGGCGTCGCTATACCTACTTCAGATAGCTGAAAACTTTATATTATTTCAAGGTCACATAAGCCTAAAATGGTTAGCTTTTCTTTGCATAGTAACCTGTGCTTAAACTCTCAGTCAATAAATGGAGGAGGTTTTATTTGAAAGTATAAAATGATTATCTAAATTGCATCCTGTTTTAAGTCACCATAATGAATTTATTTTTTCTTTAAAAACTATAATCTCTGAAGAGTTTAAGATACAATGTAAAAAGATTGAGTTTTGATTTCTCAAAAATCAAAAGTTGTACTTAAAAATTGCAGACAATTCACTGAACAGGAATAATAAAGATATATATGTTGAAGAGTTGGTAGAGCAAAGCTACTGGAAAGACAACTGTGGAAGGGAATAAAATAACTTGGTCAGAAGAAACAGAAGCTGCCTTAAGAGATGAGGCAGTGAAGTAGTGTGCTGTATGTCTAGAAGAGATAACAGATAGCAAGCTGCTCTGTAGATCACTTGAAGGACAAAAGGAGAGGGAGATTATCGCGAGGCATACTACAAACTAGCTAGGTGCGTGTAGATGAATAGTTTACCCTATAAGACAACCAAATGCACAGAGGCAAGATCAGACCATATTGAGAAATGTGATGTAAAAAATATGTGGAAATAACTGCAGCAGGTGTTTCTGGTGTATTGCTCATTTTCTTACTTTCAGAAAGAAGAACAGTTATGAAAACTGTTCATCTATAACTTACCCATTAGAGAAAGAGTTGGCTGACCAAGTAGAAGCAATGTGAACCTTGGGAGAAAGTAGTCTTACTATCTTTAATTCTGATAAACCAGATAAAGGAATAATAGAAGATTACCCTAAACTACCCCAAACTATGTTATGGAATTCAGGGTGTCATGGCCTGAAACACTCCAAAAAAGTTCAACGCTTAGAGGTTTACTGTCTTTATTGCAAATGATTACAGGTAGATTGCCTTTATTACAGGTAATTGAAGAAGGTAGTATCCAAAACCAGAATTTTACATAGAAATTAAGTTTTTCAGACTACACATACCCAGGGTCTCATTCCCAGTGGTATTGTGTATTTTCAATGAATCTCCTGGATATTTCTGGTGCACATCTTAGAGCAAGCCACTTATTTGAAAGGATCACTGTATGCCCCTAATGGCTTTCTAGCTGCTGGTTCAAAAGGTAAATTGAATCTTCTCTCCATTTTCTTCCCTCATATACTTTAACATTATCACTTTACCTTCTTCCTCCACAAATACCCATTACGACTTGATCAATGAGGCCATTACCTTGCTGTTCTAATAAACCTTGAGAAATTATTCAAGATTTAGAGATTGGCAAATGTTCTAATTTTTAAAGAAAAAAGTTGATTCTACAAATTAAAAAATGATACATAACTCTTGTTAAGACTTTCTCTTTTTTTTTTTTTGGAGAGGTCATTGCACTTGCCAGAAAGAGAGTGAGAGGAAAAGCGAGAAATCACCGCCCAGGAGGTATGGCTACACTGCATTCTCTCTTCCATTCTCCCTGGATCTTGGGCATGCACACACATGCGCCTGGTATGTGTTTCGTGCCACCAGGTCTGAGACTTGAACTGCAGTTGGCCATGTGGGAGTCCAGTGATGTAACTGCTATGCTGTCTGCTGGCTTCTCTCTTGCTAGATTCTAAGAATTATTAAATATTTTATGAACTCTTAAACCAGAAGTGAGACCACAAAAAGCAAAATTGTTTTGTAAAGTTTTTAAGAAATATATATATATAATTATTGTTTCTTTTTAAAAAAAACTTGATATAGGACATGTACGCTCAACAGAGACAAGGGTAGGGATGGGGGGACAGGGAGGGCAAAAAGCAAGCCACCAAAACTGGGACTTCAACAGTGGTTGGCCATGTGGGAGTCCAGTGCCTTAACCCACCATGCTTCCTGCTGGCCCCTGGTTTGTAATTTCAATAGCATTCTGAAATAGTCCATTTGTAGAATTCAGAAAAACCAGCAGTTTTTAGTGTGTTCGATAACTCTAGTTTTGATAATCTGTTTTTTGGTCAAGTAAGTTTGAGAAAGTTAAAACCAAGTTAAGCAGGTTTCTTTATAGGTCTTCAGGCCTTTAATGTGCTAATATGCAGAATGAATGAATGACAATTCAGGACACAAAATATGAAAATGAACTAAAAGCAGAGCCTAACTGCAATAGACAAAATTTATGCCTAGAAGCATGTTTTCCTTCTAAAGATATCAGTATAAAAAAGTAATTTAGGGGACCAGCAGGTGGCATAGTGGTTATGGTGCTGGACACTCCCATGTATCCAACCATGGTTCAAGTCTCAGAACTGGTGTCTTGCTTTTTCACTTTCTCTCCTCTCTCTCATCAAAGTAAAACATAAATGAATGAATAAATAAAATTAAGTAGTTCTCTCTCTCTCTCTCTCTTTTTTTTTTTTTTTTTTTAAAGTATTTTAGGGGCCAGCAGATGGCATAATGGTTACGCCACTGGACTTTCACATAGCCAACTGCTGTTCAAGTCCTGGACCCGTTGGCTTAAAACTCACACTGGGCATATGTGCATGCGTGCCCAAAATCCTGAGAGGAGAATGGAAGAGAATGAATTGTAGTGTAGCCATCCACCCAGGGAGTTGATTTCTCACTTTTTATCACTCACTCTCTTTATCCAGCAAGCACATGCACCCTATACTAAAAAATCTCTTTAAAAAAATATTTTTGTAAGCTAGAAAGCAATGCTATTTACTTAATGCAGTTTCAATACCTAAACCATCAAATAACTGAACATAAGTTGGTAAAGCCTGTCATAAGATATATGTTGTCAAATTTAGCTTATATGTGAGGTCTTTTAAAAGTTCATGAAAACACACTGAAAAAATTATACAGATTTCAAAATCCTTTTATAGCAGAATAATTTATATGGTCCACCAGATGGCACAGTGGTCAAGGAGTTGGATTCTCATGTGACCAACCACAGTTGGAGTCCCAGACCCGGCAGCTTGAAAAATCACACCATGTTTATGTGCATGCATGCCCACAGTATCTAGAGGATAATGGAGGAGAAGGGACTGCAGTGTCAACCATCGCCCTAGCGGGTTATTTCTCACTTCTCTCACTATCCCTCTCCAGCAAGCGTATGTGTCCTGTTGCAAAAAATCTAAAAAAATAAATTTATACTTAAAATTCATTTTCCACAAACTTTTAGAAATCACTTCATACCTGGTGACAGCAGTGTATTTGGTAAAAAAACAAATTAGAGAAAAGTCATTAGCCTTTGGGCCCAACCACGGTGGCACAAGCAAAGTTATGACACCATGTTCTGCAGGCCAGGATCATATGGGAGGCCTAGGTCCAACTCCTGGTCCAATCTAATAGCTGATACTTATAATCTCAGTGATTCAGGAGGCTGAGGCAAGGGGATCATGAGGTTGAGGCTACCCTGGTGTGTTGGCACGTACCTGTAATTCTAGCTATTAAAGGAGGCTGAGGGGACCACCAGATGGTGTTGGTAGTTAAGGTGCTGGACACTCCCATATGGCTGATCATGGTATGAGCCCCAGACCTGGTGGCTTGCTTTCTCACTTCC